CATTCTAATATCCCATTTAGAGAGTATAAGCCTGAAGCCCAGCTTCTAAGATTTTGAAAAAGAGAGCTGGCATGGGATGGGATGTTGGGGCCTGGGAGGTGTTTGGGGAGCCATCTCCATAACCAGTATGTAAATTTTTAATTTATTAATTTTTAATTTATTTAATTTATCTTTCTGTCTTCCATATCATGCCACCACCCTCAACCCAGAGACCTTTTGTTTTGTCCTCTCTGGAGAATAAACCTTTAGTCTGCTGGGGATGGGATCGGGGGGATGTCATCTGGCTGAGTTGAATCAGGGAGGGATTCTGGAGTTCAAACTGCTTTTTCTGGTCTTTAGATTGGATGATTCCTATCCATCTAGTTTCTTGCTTACTGACCCTTTCCTTTGCTATCACCATCTTACTCTTACTGGTCTACCTAGTGAATGTTTTATTTCAGATAATATTATTCCATTTTAGAATTTCCATTTTATTTTTTTAATAGTTTCCACATCTCTGCTGAGATTTCCTACATTTTCTTATATTATGAATATATTTTCCTTTACTTTGTTGAACATAGTTATAATAGATGCTTTCAAATCCTCATCTGCCACCTGGGTCCTATCAAAGTCAGTTTCTGCTGATTACTTTTTCTCTTGAGTATGAGTCACTTTTTTTTTTTTTATTTCTTCATACACTGAATAATTTTGGATTATATCCTGGACATGGTGAATATTATGTTGTAGATAATCTGGAAAAGTGTCTTTTTCCAAGCAAATACCTTGGTTGCACTCAAACTGAAAACTCTGATTTGGCATGGTGGTTCAAATCTCCTTTTAGTTCTTATACCTTTCACTGGGCTGTTTGCAGTTCTCCCTGCACATGTGTAACTTAGAGTCACCTAGATATTTGGTCAGAGTTTATGCACACCATTTATGCTTCCCTGTCACTGGCCTTCATCTTTCCAATATTACAAACCTCACTTTCCAGTGGCTCTGGTTGCCCTGAACCCTGCTCTCTGGTTCTTTAGGGAAGAAAGACTACAGATTTTCTGTTGGGAGTTTTAGCTTTGCAGCCTAGTCCCCTTCCCTCCATCTAAGAAATAAAAAGGGGGGGGTGGCGCTCACCCTGCCATCCTGTGCCATTCCCTTCTACCAAATGTTAGCTCCCCTCTCTAGAATCTGTTTGCTTTTGTTCACTCCACAGGGCCTTCAGAGAGTTTATTTTTCTAATGTTCAGAGTTTATAGTTGTAGCCTGTGGGAGGGCAGGTCCAGTAGGAGCTCACTCTGCTATATCAGAAGTAGACTCTTTTTAACTGCTTCTTAAACAACTGTTTAAGCAATTCTATTTTCAGTCATTAGCTCTACTTCCAAAGTAACATGATGCCACCAGTTTCTGAGACGTTGGAGTTTCTGCATGCAAACTATATTCCCCCATAAAAAAAATCTCTTAGTGAGCATTAAGTAGCATACAAATAAAGTAGGAGATAATGGAAGATTGAGTCATGGAACATTTGAAATCCGACATAATCCATGTAGCCTCAACATGGCAGAAGTTAGGTTTTTCAGCCTCATGTGGGCCAGAATAAGAGCATTCCTTTAAGTCAGCATTTTTAAAAATGTGGCTAAGGACTAGGGGCCTGTTAAAAATGCATATTTCTAGGCCCACCTTAATCTTCCCAAAACGGAGTATAGGGGTGGAGCCTCATAAGTTGCAGACAGTAAGTGCTCCCTAAGTGTTGCCTATTGTGATTATCGTCTTAGAATGCATAAACAACAAATAGCTTCCTGATGTGTGCTTGCCCCCCCCCCCCCAGGTGCCAGGCTGCTGGGAGGGTTGCTGCTTATCATAAACAGGGCTGGTGTTACCAGCCAGATGCAGCGCCAACTTGAAGGAAGCAAACGTGTTCCCAAGGGCAAACACAAATAGTTTGGAAGCATATTGTATGATAGGAAACAGTTTTGTTTTGTTTTGTTTTCCCAGCATCCGTTTGAAATGAGGTTTTGGAATAAGACTATAGGGCTGATTTAGAGGTGCTCTTAACATGCATACTCTGTAACTTCCAGTCAAGAAGTCACTATAATGGACAGTGACAATGACCCCTGGGCTATGAGGGTGTGACCTGTCACTGTTCTCTCTGGCTTCCTCTCACCTTCCTACCGAAGGTTTACCCTGTGTGACAGTAATCCCATAGAACCGGTCACTTCAGGGCACTACATACATACTGGGAACCTTTATGAAGGTCATCTCACTAATTTCTGGAAGCTAATTATTATTTTTACCTTGCCATAAACTCAAGAGCACTGAGAAAGTGTCATTGGTCTGCTAGATCCATTTAATTAGGAATTAGCTTAATTGTTAATTCATTGGCAACTCTAGCCAATCAATTTAGGTCTCAGTAAACTTGTTCTAGAGACATTACTGTACTTTTTAAAGGATCCCTTTATCTATTGAGGTACAAGCTGTTTCCTAAGAAAAGTCCTCCTAAACAGCTATACTTTAACCCACAGAAGAAGAAGATGTGGACATAGTCCAACAAGTCTTTGCTTCTAATTGAAATAAAATTTGAATCTCTTTAGGGTTTGAGTCAAAACTTTTGGCTTCATTCACTGGTTCAGAATTCAAAATAATTTCTCCCTCTGATCTTGTATTCTTTTTCTGAATATTATTGAATTCAAATCCCCTGAAATAGAGCTAATCTGCTCTAGTTGAATGTTTGGAATTCTTTAAACCCTCAAACAGGTTGAGTTTATCTGGAGCTTGGAAGTGGTGAACCTCAACATTGCAAGCTTTTCTCTGAACTCAGACCACCCAAATGGTTCTTCTCCTGTAGAGCTGTTGGTTAGCCCTGAGATGCAGATTTTCAGTTGCTTGTTTCCTCCTTCCCTCCCTCCCTCCCTGCCTTCCTCCTTTCCCTTCCTTCTCTCCCTCCTTCCTTCCTTCCTTCCTTCCTTCCTTCTTTTCAGTTGTCTGTTAGTTACTCCTACTTTTTAGATTGGGAAATTGAAACATTAGAAAGGTAAGCATTGTGCTCATGTCTTGGTTACACACACCTTTTTGGGGGGAGATAGGAAAAGGAATAAAAGACAGGTCTCCCTCTCCAAGGCTATATAACCTCTCTCTCTGGGCCCTTTATGAGGACCTAAGTCAGTGGTTTGCCCCTTGGGCCATATGAGCCCTTAGAGGGTCTTTGAAGGAAGCAAGAGAGATATTTGGGTTGTTTTAATATTTCAAAAAGTCCAACAGAAATCGCATGTTTCCCAAAATAAAACTCCATGAGTAAACTAGAATGCCATGGTATTTTTGCTTTTGATTAGAGTTAAATTAATTCAGTTTGATAACATTGATTATCATGCTGATCTGAAGCTGTGATTACAGTTATATGCATCTTAGATGATTAAAATGTGAAAAATAGGTTGATTATGTCTTAATAAATGCAGTTTATTTGATAGGCAGAATCTTATAAAGCCTGAAACTAATCAGAAAAAAATATGACACATTTCGGGAACTCTCTACATATATCTAGAACAGGCAGACTGCCAATGAACATAAAACTCTAAAACATATCTATTTTGAAATTTTCCTGGAATCACAAAACTCCATATATTTGTTCTTTCTGGTTGCCTTAACATGAACAGTACAAAGTCGAATTGCCCTTTCTTATACTTTTTTCACTAGGATGCCTACAGTCCATGACCAGCTAATGTCCGTACCTGGCAACTGTCTAGTCTTAACTACGTGTGTGTTACCGTATGTAATTTCAGATTATTGGGTTGATATCTATGAATGCTGATAGTACATTTTAAAGAAAGTATTTGAAAGCAACAATACAATGATTATATTGAGAAACAAAGAAAAGTGTAATTGACCATTCTGCTTAAACTCAACAGATCTCTTTCCCATGTGCTAACAACACACGGCAGTATTCTGGGCAGTTATGCTCGTGTGCAAAGTATAAATAGAGACATAAGATATTTTCTGATCTCTTATAAATCATTAGACTAGTCGAAAGACATTTTTTTTTTTTTTTTTGAGGAAATACTCAACTTGCTTCCCTGAGTTAATTCTGCAGGTTGAGGTTTTCATAATCGTGTTACAATCGCTATGGCTTTGGGCGTCACTTTTGTGACTCACCTGGCTTGGGCTGCTTTAGACCCACAGTCCGGAGTTCATGTTGCTGAAGGGCAATGACTAAGATCATTGTTTCCCCTAGGGCATGGCCTTTAAAGGTTAAATCGGTGGGGCTTTAAAGGTTAAATCAGGCTCTGGGGCTTAGGAACATGTCACTTGCTCAGTTGAGGCTGCCTCCCTCCCTGGTATATTCTGGTTCCAGAGATCTTTCTGGAGTGTTCCCTGGTCTTAGGGAAAGTTCAGACAACACTGCTGTCTCCACACAGGTGTCTGTGAATTTCGACGTCATACCAGAAGTGGTTGACTGTCAGTCACAGGGGTGATTTGTGTGAGCATTGTATGTCTGTTGGAGCATGTTACACAAGAACAAGAACGTGTGACGTAACAGAAGCTTAATCCCTTCGGGCTCCTCATGTGTAAAGGAGGGGGTGGTGCAGATGCTCACTGGGGACCTCCCAGGCGCTCACAAACTTTCTATACCTCTCAGCTTCCTTAATAGTAAATCTCAGAATAAAGATGGCCCCAGTACAACACAAGTGGCCAAACTGAGCCAGACAGGTGGTAGTTTACATGTGTGTGAGACTCTCATTTGCGGGTAGGTGAAGCTAAGTTGAGGCAAAGCACATGCCTCAAAGTACATATTTTAATCTTAAAAAAAAAAAACAAAAAAAAAACAAGTTCCTCCCATGGAGGGTGACTCTTTTCCTTTGGTTTCTTCATGCTGGTACAGAAAACAACCAGCTCTGATGCTTGTAAGCATCCCCATTGGAACGTTTTATCCCAGGGACTTGAAGGGTTAATGATTGTAAGGTTTTTAATTGTGTAATTCTCTATGATCTCAGAGGTGTCTTTAAAGTTCTTAACTTTCTGTTTGTCTTTCATTCTCAGCTCCCTCCCCTGCTTGAGACCTGTGGGGCTTGACATCTGGGAGCACTCTGGTAAGTATGTCTTATTAATGAAGCTGTCATTTATCTGGATTTTAGGCTACTGTGGCCCCCATTGCTCAGAGCCTAGATTATTTAAGCCTCACAATAACCTAATGATTTGCTCTCGTCTTTATTTTACAGATGAAGAAATGGAGCTTTTTGAGAGACTGAGTAATTTGCCTAAAGTCATATAACGTGAAAAAACAGGATTCAGACTAAAGTGAGTTTAACCTGAGAGTTTGTGTTCTTAATCACTGTTCTATATCGTTTCCCTTCTTTTTGTTGAAAGAATGAATAATATGTGCTCCTTCACCCTGGGGAGAGTGTAATATTAGCAGATCTCCTCTGCTTGAAGACATTCTCTGTAATGGGGAGGAAGGATCTTGGGGTAGGGGTTCTCTTGCCAGCAAAACAGACATAACGACTCAATACCACTGACAGATATTTAGAAATATGTACACACAAAGCAGAAGTCCACACTTCACAAGAGCACATTCAAGCAAAATGCCATATAGTAAACCCATGACAATGGTTGTTCTTGGGGATGGGGAATAAGAGTGGGAAATAAGGTTAAAAGGCAACAGATAAATATATAAGACAAGGGAGGGAATCCTTTCAGGGCCCAACCATGACAATGTGGACTGAGAAACATCACAAATGCAACCCTTTGCACTTGAGCATCTCCCCTCCCCATAAAACAGAGTTAAGAGGCAGGACAAGGGAAAAGTAGATCAGGTTGAGAAAAGATTTGGAATGCAAGGAAGACATGAGTGAGTGCCTCCTTCCTTGTGATGTTTCTCAGAAATCGTTTATTTAGTCTTAGAATGGAAGGACTTTAATGTAAACATCAGTTACACATAGGCATGAGGTTGCCTCCACCAGGCATCAGATTTTTGACAGAGAAGCAAAGGTTTGAGGTCCTATCATTTATATATTAAAGGGGAAACAGTCTCAGAATGCACCAGCTACAAGGACGGTCAGAGTGATTTCACAGGTAATAAAGCTGCAAGTTCAGAATGGTTGAAGAACTAGTCCAAGATGTCACAGCTGGTATGGGATGGATCCCCATGCTTCTTCTCCAGGCCCACCTGCCTCCACTGGTCTCTGGCCTGTGTCTACCCCATGATAACTCTCTGCTTCTCCTGCTGAACTTGGGATGGACTTGCTTGACCAACATTCCTCCCCCTCATTACCTTGACTCAGAAAAGCTTTGACTTTAGAAGGTGGTCAGTAAATGCTGATGATAATGATCACTGATACTCAGGAAGACGTTCTTTGACTCTTCATATGTTTCAATAAGAAACTGAGTTTTGTGCTCCTTGTTCTGGATTGTTGTGGCTTTTCATTCTATTCTAGTTTCAGCTCTGCTGTTAACTGTATGAACGTGCACCTGTCACGCTTATCTTGGCTTTAGTATCTTTATTTGTCCACAGGACGGTGGTTTTATATTCGCCAAAGAGTCATCTAGTCAGGGCTCCTATGGTCAATGCTCTTTTGGGAGCCCAGAACCTTCCTCACCAAGGCAGGCATGGGAGAGCTCATGCTCACAAGATACTCTCTCCAGAGCTCCTCTGCATTTCAGCTGCTCGGCTGGGCAGGAACTTTCTGTCATTTCACCCATAAACAAGCAGCGAGGCTCTCACGAAAGACACAGTGCCAGTAGAGAGAGACAGTCCTTGCCTTCCAGGCACTATCATCTTATTAGAGGAAGAAGAACAGGTAGATAGAAGTGCACTAAGAGCTAAACCAGGACAGGGAGTACAAGTGCCATGGTTGTTAATCCTACATCTGGTCTGGGAAAGCTTCTCAGGGGAAGAGGGATTTATGCTGGGTTTTCTGTTTTGTTTTGTTTTTAAAGATTTTATTTATTTATTTGACAGAGAGAGGCACAGAGAGAGAGGGAACACAAGCAGGGGGAGTGGGAGAGGGAGAAGCAGGCTCCCTGCTGAGCAAGGAGCCTGATGTGGGGCTTGATCCCAGGACCCTGGGACCACGACCCGAGCAGAAGGCAGACGCTTAAGGACTGAGCCACCCAGGCGCCCCTATGCTGGGTTTCGAAGGGAGGTAGGCCTCTGAGAGCAAAGGCATCAAAATACCACAGTAGAGGGGGATGTCCCAAACAGACCAAAGACACAGTTAAGGGGGCCCAAGGCATGCTGGGACATCTGCCAGGATCCGTTCAGAGCAGAAGACCATAGTGTTCAGATCTCAGCTTCCAGATGAGTGTAAACTAGGAAGCTGACCAACTAAAGGCATTCTGTACAGCACGTCTGGGTGAGTAGGCATTGGGAGTGTGTGTCTGAGTTTGAGTATGAGCATGTGTATTAACAAAGGTGGTTGGAGTGAACCGCAAAGCCGAGTGAAGCTGTGCCGGGAGAATCTGCTCCAGCTGGGCACTCCCGAGGGGAATTCTGTAGCTGACTGACCATTGATTGGTATACAGACACAAACTCTCCAGGAGTTAACACAAAGACAAAGAATTCATCTAACATTGAGAGACAGCACAAAAAATTTTATGAATAACAGCTGACTATTGGGAAATATGAGGGGAGTGGAGATCGTTGCAAGTCAGGAGGATTTAAAAAGGCAGCTTAAAACTCAACTTTTCTTAGCAAGAAACAGGGTGACTCTATGAGAAGACAGTGCTGCCCAGAGTTTTTTCTGCCCACCGTGAAAATGTATGTGTAATACCTGAACAATTACGTTTTGCATCTGAATAAGTTCAAGTGCCTATCAGAGTCAATAAATCCATAAATCAGTATGCTGTTTCAGATACAATGTACATCAGCATGTCGCCCTGGAACTTGGAATAATTCCCTCCCATATAATTATTTACATATGTGTATAGGTAGAGAGATGATTAGATATATAGGTAGATATAATTGAATGTGGGCTGAAAAGCCAGGTTGGGAATGAATTGTGAGGATAGTGCATGCCTGGCTAAGGAACTGGGGGTTTCTCTTTAGACAATAGAAAATCACTGGTATGGAGTTCAGATGAGGACTTTATGGACTAAGCTTCTGTCTGCTTTTTGGAAGCTTGGGGTGAGTTATAAACCGTAAACTAGGAAAGCCCTCTGTAAGGCCAAGTGGACCCGTTCCCATGCCAGCCATCAGCTTGGCTCCAGGGAGTGAGGATCCTGAGCCCAGGACAAGGTTCAAGGGACAGTAGCAGCTTAGTTGCAGTGTCCTCTAAGGGCTATCCGTTGACATCAATGTGGCAATGCTGGACCAGACTGAAGCTCTGGGCTTCCTTCCCTGACCTCTCAGGGCTTCCCTCCTGTAGGTCCCTCTACGTCCTGTGAAAGAAAAGAAGGCAGATTTTTGGAAAGAATAAAAATCAAGTTCAGGTCGTAGCAAGCAGTATGCCTAAGGATAACCAGCATTTCTAATGACACAAGATGGAAGCAGGATGGGTAGACTCTTAATAGAATTCACGAACGATTGCCGCTCTCCTTGTGGGGCATGCTTCTATTTAGGTAGCCACTCTTTATCCACACAGAGGGAAGTGGTCGGAGACAAACAGGATCACAACCGGACTACTTGAATTTTCTAAATACAACGTTCTGGAGATGATTATAAAGGGACTCCCTAATATTTCTGATGCATTAGGCAGCCGACAGCATGGTTTCAAACATATCTTTAGAATCTCACATTACTGCTTTGGGATCTTTAGAACTGGAGTTCTTGCCACCCGCTCCGATTTAAAGACAGGCAAACTGAGGCTCAAAGAGCTTATGAGAATCGCCTGGGAACTCACGGCCAGTGAGCTGCAGAGCTGTGAATCAAATTTCAACCTTCTGACCCCCAGTCCAGTGTTCTTCACTCCCAGCCACATAAAAAAGCAGTCTTGAATTTGATTCTGCATCAGTAAATTTCGTTTCTAGTAGCTCATTCTGCTCCGCAGGCTTTGAGATGCTGCTGACCTCCAACAGAACTGCGGTCAAGGGCCGAGCCACGACCCGGCTCCCCTGGACAAAGGTTTCGGTCAAGGAGCACACTGCCCCACTCACACATTCTTATTTGCCCAGAGAGGATCGTATTACAGGGTCATCTTTGTTCCACTCCACACTTCTGTGTTCATTTATGTACAGAGAAAACTGTGTTTGGGATTTGCAAAGTCTAGCAGAGCATTTCCCTATTTCATCACAGGCCATTTTTTTAACCCGTTGGTGTATCTGTTCTTTACAACTGGAGGATAAGAGTGGAACTGAGTGAGCATGAAAAATGTTGAGGGTATAGAAGGGTCCAGGCTGGCCTTTCCAATAGAGGAAGATACCCTGATAATGTCACTGTATCAGCTCCTTTATTGATTGAGGAAGGTAACTGTTTCAAAGGCAGAGAGAGGGAAAGAGCTTGATTTTCACTAGAAGGGAGGGACCTTGAGGTAACTTATCTTTGCATCTCGCCCCTGTCCCTTGCCCAGCATCTAGAAATGTACTGCCCCTAGACGAAACTCAGTATTATCTGCATGAAAGACTGAGGACCCGGGTGACCGACCTGCTCATCCCCTGTGTTACTTGTTTCCATTCCTAGTCATGGCTTAGGACATTAAATAGCTTTGAATAATCCCTCTAGTTTGAAATTAGAGACGCCAACCCACATAAAGCCATGGAATGGGGTCTCTTCTGAACCAGCTCCAGGGGAGATTGTAAAAAGTTATATTTAGAAACAGAGCTATCAATAGCTTCATTTTCTTCCAAGGCTCCTTTTTTCATGGAAGAAGAGGGTGTCAGATGTTCTCAGCCCCTTGTCGCCTCTTTAGGGTTTTGGCACCTTGCAGCGGGCTTGGCCTCTGAAACGACAGTGGTGGTCTTACAGGTGTGGTGCAGCTCGAAGGAGCCCTGCGGGATGGATGGAGGACACTAGTGCTCAAGAAGCCAGGAGGCCAGCTGCCTGCATCCTGCCAGCTGACGTTCAGCCCGAGACCCTGTGAGTTTTCTGGAATCCTGACTCCTCCACCGAGAACCTCTCCGGAGCAGCGCTTCCCGAAGTATAATCTGCAGCGTGGCAAAAGCTGCTCTTGTTGTTTCACAGCTTTGGTTTTCTCACCCATGAAACATGGACAATGGGAACTAATACAGTGATTTGAGGATTAAATGAGATAATACTTGGGCTGAGCTGCCAGAACTATTGGCTCCCGTTGCTAGCCCCTCTTTAATGGTCGGAAGATACAACAGATCCTTGAGTTCCTGTAACATCTTTTTTCCCACCCTCTTTTCTTCCTTTGTTTTAAAATCCCATTCAAGTCTCACCTCCTCTCTGAGACTTCTCTGCAATGTCTGCCTAGCCTCGTGAACTCCTGGGGTTTCTTAGAGCAGAGTGGTCCTGGCTGAGCCAACATTCAGAATGAGCATGTGGGGCTCCTACGTGTCCTTAGGTGAGTTGCTTTGCATGGGAGGAGGACCCAGAAGGGGATCCTTCAGTCGAAAGTTTTAGGTGCTAAGACACCCATCGGGGGTGGCAGAACAAAGAGATGGTGCCAATAGTGTGTGTGGGGGGGCAATCCAGCCCCTTTGGAAAGGGGGAGAATCCTCCCCACATCTGTATTTCTGCAGGGAACCAGGCTGGCTCTAGAATAGTGAGAGATGGAGGAATACAGCTCTTAGGGGCAGCATTGGGAAGGCAGATTTGGGGACACAGGAACACAGGCTCTGGACAGGCAGCCTTTCCCTGGTGGAGACCAGGTGGATGCCCAGCAGAGCCCAGTGGGGAGCAGCAAGCCCAGAACTGTTTGTAGAATGAAAGACATTCCCAGAGGGTTCTGAGAAATACCTGGGGAGGATTTTGAGAGGATTTTACATAGATGAAAGGGATGATGAGACAGCAGAATTTATGACCTCATTCATACTCACCAGCTGATTATGCTTCTAAATAATGCAGACCGCCCCGCTGCATAACATCAGCTTACCAGGTAGCGAATAGATCCTGTGCAGGGATGTGGGTGCTTCCTGTTCAATACGGATTGCCTAATATAGCATTTGGTGTCTGGAACTCCTTTGCCTTCCAGTCTTCGAGCTGCTTACTGTTGCTTGAGATTCAAAGTAAAAAGAGAGAAGAGAGCAATTTACTATTTATTGGGACTTTATCATTACCAACAGATCCCATTCAGCAATTCTATCCCGCAAACCCAACCCCCATGGTCTAGGCCATGTTCTTTCTCTCCTTCCTGAGATATTTAATGATCACAAGGGATTTCTGCCAAAATGGGTTGATTTGGAATTGTGCTAAGAAACACCCTGAAATAACTGAATGGTTCTATTGCATTGAAGAGAGGGTTTGAACTTGTCTCGGTCTAACGAAACAACTGGAACTAAGGTGATAGTTGGGATCAAAGATTATTCATCTTAGTCATCTTTGCTCTTGGTACTTTTTGAGAATTGACACTTTCTTGAGTTATTAAGCCATTACTGCTAGCATACAAGGTCAGGGGCCCAAAATTCACAGAAATTCTGAACGGTGCTTTGAGTGTCGGTTGTTTCTTTTTTTTGGTAGGATGCTCAAATGCCAAGTCATCATTTTCTGAGTCAAGTCACTGATCTTGAAGGTTGTCAGCCTCCTCCTTGAGGTCCATGCTGGCCAAGGAGTCAGCTGGGAAGTCTGGCTGAGCCTTCGGGCTAATGTCTGTCATAGAACAGCCTTTGCTGATGGTTTGGAGAGCTCGCTTTTTGGCCGCAGAGAATGGGCAGTGTTCACTCCGTAGTGGCAGGACGTGCTCCCAGGATGGATGGCTGCATGACAGGTGTCCACTTCCAGTTCCCTAGAAAATGGCTGGCAGTGCCCTTTCTTTCTACTAAGCACAGGAGAGGCGGTCCCTTCCTTCTCTCTCCCAAGGTAATTACTAGTGCTTTCCCATAACCCACAGCTAAACCAACTCTTCTCCAAATCTCATAAATACAGATGACAGGGAGGAGGCTAGGGCCGTGGGGACAGTACTCATTGCCTGTGATGTTGTCACCTTCTGTTACCCAGGTGCATGGCCTGGCTTTCATTCAATGCCCCATGTTCCTGGCACACGAAGGACCTTAGTGTGGTCTGCTGGGGCAAGCTGACTTCTTGCTTGTGTCAGTGCGGTGTTGGCAAGACATTTCCGCCACCCGGGAGGCAGCCAATACCCCCTGGCTGAGGCTTGAGATGTCCTTTTGTTCCTTACCACTTGGCCCTGGAAACAGTTGTCTTCTGACAGGCTTATCATGCACAGCCTGTTCTCATTGCTCTGTAGCTCTTGCCAGAGAAAGAATAGTGACCTGTCCTTTCCTGATCTCCCTCTCTCCAGGAGTACCTATGAGAAGCTCAGAGGGGGGCAATCAGTAAATATTTGCTGAGTGAATTGGATAGATGGAACGGCTTCTGGATCACTTACCCACTTACAAAAGTTCTTCAGGTGGAGGGGAGTCTGACCAATAGAAGCGATACTGAAAAGTGAACTGCAGCGCCTAGGATCCTTTCTTTATTTGTCGCCCCAGTGCGGTGGATGACTGGAGAGTTGGCTGGGATGGAGTTGTATGGCCAAGCACCGCAGGGTCAGGGGATGTCGGGGAAGTTGGCAGGTGCCATTTCTTTTCAACAGCTGCCTGGTGCTAGCCCCTGAATGAGGCACATTAGCTCCATTATTTCATCTCATCTGCCCAGCTGCCTCCTTAGGAGGAAATATTGCCCTGCTTTCCTGGTGAGGGAGCCAAGGCTCAGAGAGAGGAAGTCACCTGCTTGAGGTCATGCAGGCAGGGAAGGGCAGAGCCAAAGTTAGGAGTTACGGCCAAGCTTCTGCTGTTCCCATCGTCCCACAGCTGGGGGGCTCCTGCACTCAGGGGGACATCTGGGTGAACCAGGCCCTTCTGAGATGCCTCACTCTGGACTCTTCAAAGAAAGATTCAGAAAGCCTTAGATTTGCAGAGCACTTGAGCATTTTGAGAATGATTTTACCCCCACTCTTTCATTTGCCCCTTACAGTTATTGGTCTTTTATGAGCTCCATGTCACCAATAAGAAACTGAGGTATGAAGAGACCGAGCTTTGACATAGCACTCAGGGCATCTGATCATGAATCTAGAACTCTTTTCACTGGGTTTCAGAGAAAACAAAGCATTTTTATAAAGTACAGTTGACCCTTGAACAAGGCAGGTTTGAACTGCGTGGGTCCCCTTCTGTGCAGATTTAAAAAAATAAATATATTGGAAAAATCGGGGGAGGTTTGAGATGATTTGAAATAACTCTCAGATGAACTGTGTGGCTTAGAAGTCTTGAAAATTTTTAAGAAGAATTTAGGTATTATTGTAAGAAACATCACCACTTATTTGTTGCTTTTGGAACATTGCCATGTCCCACAGACATTGTCACTGGGCCATCCTTCCATTCTATGAGGCCATGTGTTCCTGGATGAAGGGCATCTGGGAAGACCACTGAATCCTGTGAGCACGTGGCCTTACTGCTTTTCCCATGAAATAACCTTCTTTGATAGAAGCAATGTTGTGTGGGATACGATGATGATGAATAAGGCACTAAGTCCACAGAGAATACTGAAGAAGTCCCTAGAAACATAGAAGGCAGGGAAGACAAATCTATGTCTCAAACCAGCATCTGTTACAGTGAGCACAAATTCTGTTCAACAACCCAACAAGTAAAAGCCCCAGATTGTTTCTCTACTCCTAAATATGGAATGTAAAATGTTTCTGATTACAGTTATGGAAGTTCAAGATAGCCGGGCATATGGTTTAGGCTTGGGAGACACACTGTCTCAGTGGGGCCTTGAGTGATGGACTGATAATTCTGTTCCTGTCTTCAAGCCAACCCTTTCCCCTCTTCACTTTTGCTTTTTCAAGCCATCACCACTTTTCCCCAACTCCCAGCTCAGCCCTTTCCTTCTCATTCTCTGAAGATGACCTTTCTTTCCTTCTTCAGGAAAGATGCCGAAGCTCTTCGGCCAGAACTCCCACATATCAAGTTACCCTGGGCTGCTTGTCTTCAAGATTCAGAGACGTAGGAACCTAAAAATTCCACCCAAAGTCTTAATTCCCCTCTCTTTCACAGTCCTGCTCAATCAACTGTCTCCTTTGGGATTGTCACGCTCACCACGTCCCTAGGCTTCTGACTCCCATATTGTTAATCTGCAGATTTCAGCCACATTAAGCAATGCCAACACTCAGCTGGGGAACCTCCCTTGATCCTACATGGCCTTCTAATAACAACCGACTCCTTCCTTCTGGTGAAAGCTTTTCAAAAGAAGGGTCTACAGCCATGTCTTCCTCCTCACTTCTTTTTCACTCCTCAGCCTATAGAAGTAAGTTCTTGATTCCTCTCTCTTCTCTGAAACTGCTCAGATCACGAATTTCAGCCCCACAGTGTAGTGGCCAAACTCAGTGGCCACTGATACCCTTATCTCATTTGCTATCTCTGTGGTGGCTGACAGTGTGGACTTCTCCCTTCTCTCTCCTCCCATGACATCAGTGACTCCTTAGCCATCTGGTTTCCCTCTTGTTTCTTTCCATCCATGTAGCTTCTCTTCTACCTACCCACCTCTTAACTGTGTTCTTCAGAATTGCCGCTCCCAGCCCTTTTCTCTTCTTCCTCTTGCAGTCCCTGAGCAATCTGCATTCACTCCAGAGTTGTTGTTCTGTTGTTTTTTGAACTGTCCCCACATGTCGATGACTCTCAAGTCTATGCTTCTGGCACTGACTTCATTCATGAAGCTCAAACCCATGTATCTAATCAACTCCATAGACACCCCACCGCTAACAAGGCTCAAACTGAAATCATCTCCCTTAAGTCTGCTTCCTACTCGACCAAGGACCGGCCACGTTGTCAGAGAAAGCAAAGCACAGACTGGATGACACGGTCTAGAGGACACTGGCTCAAGGACACAGGTGTGAGGACACAGAAGGAAGAAGAATTTAAGACAGGGAGCACTTCTAGAGGAGCGGGAGGTGAGGCCACAGCTGAGTGTGAAGATGTGAACAAAGGGCAGAGACCTCATGCCTCCAGCAGTCCTTGTTGATTTAATGCACTGAAGGGGCAGTAGCCAGGAGGTCATCTGGTGAAATGGTGTGGGGAATGTCTTGGGGGGGGGGGTTGGCACTGTACAGTGCTGAGAGGCCACCACATGAGTGTCCAAGAGTAACCAGCCCCAAGCTTCTGATAAGATTCGACAGTGGAAGCACCAAAGACTCTGGATGTTGGACCC